AACCCACCCTGACACCAACCTTGTAAAGCGAATCACCTGTGTGACTCGGTCAGTGGCCCTTGCCAAGAAAAAGTCATCCCACCTTAATGATTTCATTCAGGGACAATTGAGTTTCTTATTTCAAAGGAAAGTGGTAAATAGTGACTTTTACATGATCTCCAACATATTAATGATACCGTGGAGGATAAAAATACTTTACAACCATGAATGCCCTCCCCAGCAGTCATTACCCAAAACTGGCATCTTGTAGTAATTGATCTAAAGGATTGATTTCCTTTATCATTTCATTGCATCCAAATGATGCACCTAAAATTACTTTTTCTGTTCCCACTATTAATATTAGTGAACCTGCAAAACAGTACCACTGTGTTATTTTACTGTAAGACATAAAAATCCCACCAGGTCCCCCAAGCTGTTACGTATCATTATACGGATGACATCCTTATAGCAACACAACCACTGGAGATCATGGAAAAGGCTCTTGCTTTAACCAAACACTCACTATCTCAAATGGTGTTGCAAATACCTCTTCAAAAGGTACAGATATCATCACCAGGCAGTGCCTGGGCTGAAGAATTTGTGAACACACTATTGTCCTGCAACAACTTAAAACTGCTATTAAGAGTTTAAAAGATTTACAGAAATTTTTAGGAACCATAAATTGCTTACAGCCATTGTGGGCCTAACTGATGATGACCTGCATAGCTTGTTTGATATTTTATGAAAAGATCCTTCACTAACATCACCCAAAGTACTTACAGAGAAAGCAAGACAAGATCTCCACCTCATAGCTAACACCATTTCAAACAGACCAGCATGGCAGGTACGCTGCATTCCCCCAGGGGACAAGCCATCATAGAAAGAGCACAGCAAACCTTGAAAGCGCTTTTGCAAAAACAAAAAGGGGGAGAGATCTTGGCTCCAGGTCAACCATATGCTCTGCTGTTTCAGTGGGATGAAAAACACATGCATTTTTCCCACCAGCATGCCAGGGCAATACAAAAACAATTTTATTTATCAACTTGCCCTGCATACCAGACAGACTCCATCTCTTCAACAGGGAAGTGGTGTTGACCCTTGGGGACTCACCTCCTCAGAATTAGAGCAGTCTGTTGTCACTCACTCAGCTGCATTTCAAATGTTAAAATATGTACATGTGTCTGTTAATACCTTTTCTGGAGCACTGTTTGCATCCTGTCATACAGCGGGGAGTCAAGCATCTGACCTGCATTCCCCATTCACCGGCTGGTCAGGCCACTGTGAAGCAAACACCTAGCAAGGTAAAGCGTCTATAACAACAACAATAACAAAAAAAAAAAGGGGAGATGCACAGTATCAATCTACACCTCACAAAAGGCTAAATAAGGCATTATATGTCCTGAACTTTTAAACATTCCCCTGTGTTACAGGTGCCACCAATATTGTGTCACTTCTCATCACAGATACCAGATCAACAAGAAGTCCAGGGCAAGGCTCAAGTGGTAACAGAAACCTAGAAAGGGGTAACTGGGAAGGACCATTTCCTTTAATAACCTGGGGAAGAGGTGATGCTGGTGTCTCCACAGGTCACGATCTCCAGTGGTCACCAGCAAGGTGTTGCAACCACCCCTGAGGGTGAGAGGCAGCCAGCACTCAGGATCCAGCTGTGGGTGCCCCTGTATCAACTGTTTGCAATCTCTTCGACTGATGATTTAAGCAGAATGTCTGGGTAATGTGTGCTACTGCAATAGGACAAAATACACTGTGGTTGCCAATTCTTTTAAGAGAAAATGCTAACAGTAATTACAACTCCTTAATGAGATATCTAGACTTACTAGTCACTAGTGAAAGATGTAGTTTAGGTGGAATGTAGTTATTAGTAAGGATGAAATGCTGTGAGAATGTGTGTATTCAACTTTCTTTGTTTAGCAATATTAAGAATTAAGGGCTCAAGTGTTTAACCTTATTAGAAACTCCCTTGGTTTTCCCCCTGGAGTGCTGGCCAGGCTCGGGGTGGAAGCCAGCAGGAGGATGAAATCAGATGTTTCTGCTCAAGAAAAAGTGCCAGTTACTTTGGCCTGTTGATTTAGAGGCCGGACCTGCTTGCAGCGACGTTGGATGCCTCACCTACGGATGGACGCATCGTGTAGGATCTCCTGTTTGTGAGGAAGGGCACTCTAAATTCTCGCTGCATCCACTGTTCCCCAGCGATTGCAGATCTGAACGTTAGTACTTCTATTAAATTAAGTGTGCTATTCCGTATTTTCCTTACTGGGTTTTTTTGTAGTATTTAGTCATATCCTTTAATTATAAGTAGTGAAATTAGCCTACTCTTTTTAATTAGTAATTGTAACTGCTGTATTGTTTTAGCCTTCTGTGGAACTATTCTAAGTATGCTGTTTTGAAGTTTATCTAACCCTTACTTGATAACAGCTCCCAAACAAGTCTTGCAGGTGCTGCTGCAAAACAGAGAAAGAGGAGATCTGGGAGGCACCGGCCTTACACAGCCTCTGGCAAACAGCTAAGCTTTGATGAAGAACAGGCCTCGTAAGATAGATAAGAAACTGCTGAGCTGTGCCAAGGTGGCAGGGAAAAATCAGTCAGGACAGCAGGCATTTTGCCTGGGCTTAGCAACTGCTGCCGACTGATCCCAGACCTTTTTGATCGCAGTTAGAGCTGAGAGGCTCTCTTCCCCCAGCAGCTGGGAACAGCATGCAAGATCAGGCCTGGGGATGTATGTAGGCTAGGATGGCAAAACACGACTGCTTCAGCAGTACCAGTAAATGACGCTTGGTTTTGTAGTGATGCTTACACGATAGGTTTACATCTCGAAGAAGAAAGAATATTGAATAATGATTCAGCTAAAAGGTTACCAATTACTAGATGGTTAAAGGATTTGATTTTATATTGAATAACAGTTTTGATTGGCATTGTAATCTTTTAATGATGTTAAGCTGTGTGTGGAAGTGTTTTATGAAAATGATGGGCTGAACAATAAAAGGGGTCTAGATCGCTCAAAAACAAAAGAGGGATTTGTGGACTGGTTTAAAAAAAAACCAACACAGACAAAAATAAACAAAAAACCCCCAAAACCCAACCAACAAACCAAACCAACAGGCATGTTATGAGCGATCCAGACCGAGTGGCCTCACTGTAACAACAGGCTGTAGCTGGTGTGAAGAACGCCTGCACAGCCAAGGGGCTGACAAACAGTGTGTGTAGCAAAAAGTAAGAAAGCTGAACTGTTGAAAGCAAGATGTTTGCCCAGCAGGAGAACGGCGCATGGACACCACGCCGGGACCAATCATAGAGGGCAAAAGGGCAAGCAACAGCGGAACGTGCGCATCGCACCCTAAAAGCAAAACTACAACGGCTTGGGGAGGGGGAGGGTCATAAGGGGACAATACCCCTAGACCGACAGCAGACTCTTTTGTTCCGCGCCCTTTATGCTTTAAATCACTTTGTTAGAGGCGACGAGTCCACACCTCCCCTGTGGAAACACTTTATGCCAATCCAGGTGACAAAAAACTACCCCTTGGTTCAGGTCAAGGAACGGGGAGCGATGGCGTGGGAATCGGGCTGGTCGCTGAGAGTGTTTGGGCGTGGGTACGCAGCAGTGGAAAAGGATGGTTTAATTAAATGGACACCTGCATGATGTATAAAACCTGAAATAACCATTTCTTCTTAAAAGTTTTTGCAGATTTTTTGTCTAAAGCAAGATCATACATTTCTGGAGGCCTGTGTCAGCACTCTGAATATTTTGGTTTTATTCTACTTTGTGACATATACTAATTTTAATTTCAATCTGCATTTTGTATAGCTGGCTACTTTAATTTTTTCATAAAATCTTCACAGCTTTTTAAATAGTTATGTTTTTATATTTGAAACAACAAAAAACTTTTTGAAACGCTTTTGAAGAGCAGCTTTGCTCTTTACCAGACAGGGTGAAGGGAGGAGAATAAGTGCTGTTAAAAGCAATAGCATATGCACCTTTTCCTGCCTAGAGTGCTGTTGAATTTTGAAGCTTGCAAGCACATCACCGTCAAACCGTGAGGAGAAAGAGATAGGTATTAATGAGTGTTTTTGAAGTTACATAATTATTCAGTCCTTTCAGAATAAATCTGTGGTAAAGACACATCATGGTTATTCTCGTTCACCTCTTTGTAGTCTGTGGGTAGTCTAATTTTCCTCATGTACTGTCTAATATTAGCTTGTATGAAACCAACGGGTAAGAATAAGCTTTATCTAAAACCATAAACTTGCTGGGGTGTAGATTTTTATCAGTATAACACCTTGCATCTCTTAACTGTTGGAAGCAGAGATTACAGGGGCCTCTGCAGTTTGCCTGGACTGAAATGGATGCTCACCACTATCTTGAAGTGGGAGAAGGTTTAGGTGACGGATAAACTTTCGAGGCCCTCCAGATTCTGTATTCCCAGTGCTGTAGCTGCTACCTTGTGGTGTGGCATTAACCTTGGGAAGCTGCTCTCTACCTGTCTGCCAGTGAGAGAGTCTGGCCTTGAGACAGTTTTTAGACTTCAGGTGAAGGAGGCGCACATGAAGAAATACGTATTTCTTGTTGTGCTCTAAGAGGGAACGAAGCATGGAGATGTTTTAGGTGTGTCACGGGTGGTCTTAATTTCTCACTGCTAACACTGGTACTGTCATAAATGAAATCACAGTGGAATTTCTCTTGCTGGTTGTTATTTGGAGCTCTGACTTAGAGGCTGCACTCCTCTTTAAAGTAATCAGGTTTTCTTTCAGTACTCGCATTCATTTTCAAGTCGGATAATGCCACTAAGCGTCTTAGATATGGAACTGTGATAATAACAAATGCAGTGTGGAAGTTAGGAACTTTTTCTTGAATGTATTCTACTTCAGAGCTGTTTACATGTTTTTTGTCTAAAGCAAGATCATACATTTCTGGAGGCCTGTGTCAGCACTCTGAATATTTTGGTTTTATTCTACTTTGTGACATATACTAATTTTAATTTCAATCTGCATTTTGTATAGCTGGCTACTTTAATTTTTTCATAAAATCTTCACAGCTTTTTAAATAGTTATGTTTTTATATTTGAAACAACAAAAAACTAAGTTAGTTAATCCTTCAGATAAAAATTAATTTGATGTGTCATTTGTAGCATGAGCTGAAACGGCATGTCTGGCCTGCCCACACCCAGTATGTGTGTTCCCTGCCTGAAGGAACAGAAGATGCTGTCGTGCATGGATGTCCGTCCCTCTGCATGCGATCTTAACCTGTTAAGGCTCCCTTACATTTGAACTGTCAAGCTGTTCTACTCACCTGTTAAACCCCCTGTGTCATTTAACGTGCTGTGGTAGCTGTTCGGGCTCTCCTGTGCGAAAGCTGGGCGGCTTGCCTTGCCCTCACAAGCCTTGTGCTGCCCCGCACGTGGCAGTACAGGTCTGGCAGAAAAGACCCCCGACCCAAATTTTGTGAGAAGTGGTTGTTTTTAACTTGGCATTAAAAGTAAAACCCGTTGATTCCATCGCTTTTTAAGTTTTGTTGTTTGGTGGAAGATGCTCCTTTTTATTTGGTCGCTGGATTGTGTTTGGCCTTTTAGTGAAAGGGCTTTTTACAAAGAGCAACCCCCCGAGCTAAAGACTTGTCTGAATTTGTCATACAGTAAGGCACTGGCTGTGTGGTGTCACCGTGTAAAGGTGCTGGTGACAATGTCTGCGCTCACACAAGTAGAGAGTGAAAGTACTCGGTAAGACCTGGAGCTGGAGAATCCTTCAGGCGTTCAAAGCCTTGACACTGGCAAATTCAGGTTTTATTCAGTTCTGACTCTCAGTAGATTTCAGTGCTTGTAAGAGGGGATAGGTGTTGACCTGTTGTTCTAATCATAACTTCTCTTTTTTTAACTGTTTTTCCACTGCTTGTCAAGATGAAATCATGTTTCATTTCCCTCTTCCTCTTACATGCATCTCATAATTTTTTAAACTAGATTTGTGTCAGGTATTCTGTTAAAATCAGCAATCCTAAACCATCGCACAAATGCTTTTCTGTGAAGCAACAAGCACAAATTATTTACCACTTAATGATATTCAATATAATTACATATTGTTAAAGTTATAATTGAACACTATATTTACATTATATGTTTTGTGCCCTCTGCAGTGTGCAAAGCGTGTTACATACATAATATAAATAGTCTTAAAAGAATTTTAGTTTCTGAGAGCAAACTGATTGTTTTCATGTGTAATAGCAAAATGGGAAGGTCTTACACATACAAGTATTGCTTTTGATGTGAAGTTGAACAAAGTTTTTATAACGAGGAAGGGGTTCTCAGAACACCCTGAGGGTGCTCCACAGATACCCAAAACTGTATAAAACTTGGTGGTAGCTGGCACCCAGTTGCACAAGGTATGCTTAAATACTCAACGGTAGGTCTAATTTCGGAGCGTGTGTTTAATAACAATAAGATGGGCTTTTGACTTTTACTCCCGTTAGTTCATTTTAGAAATTGTTATAGTTTATTACTGCTACCATGATCTTCCTTCAACATTTTATCAAATACTTCACACAGTTGCAGCTATGATGACATTAATTGGTAG